GCTGCCCAGAGAGGCTGTGGAGTCTCCTGCTCTGGAGAGATCCCAAACCCCCCTGGGCACCCTCCTGGGCACCCTGCTGTGGGTGAGCTGCTGGAGCAGGGGGTGGGACCAGATGATCTCCAGAGGTCCCTTCCAGCCCCACGCTGCTGGGACTCTGGGACTGTGTGAATTCAGTCTGGAAGCCCTGCAGGTTGGAGATGCAGCACGTCCACACGTCTGGAAGTGTCTCCTGCACACCCACCCCTGCCACTGCCCCTGGGAAGATGAGGGCTCCAGGCAGGGGCTCAGCTGACAGCCAGGCTGGAAGGGCAGGAACAGCCCCAGGGAGGAACCTCAGGGGCAGCGACCCACAGCCTCCGCCACCCTCCTGCCCTCAGACTCCCACAACAAGCAGGACAACCACACCAGCAGCAACACAGGCTGGGTGACCCCAGCAGAGGCTTTCCCACAGAAAACTCCTCAGAGCTGTGTCACCCAGGGAGGTGACATCTGCACTGAGCTGGGACGGTCAGAGCACGAGTGACCAGGAGCAGAGCCTACAGGGGAGGGATTTTCCATTCCAAGGGATATTCTGGGTGCCAGATCAGTAACCACGTGTTGACCTTGGAAAGACTCAGATGGGTCCAGAAGGCTCCAACAGCAAAGTAGAATTATTTTTGTTTCTTTAAATAGATGCAGTTGAGGATTCCATCTCCTGCAGTTCATTTACATGAGAATAAGTCACCACTGGTAGAGCGTTTTTAAGGTCTGGCTAGATAGAGATCCAGACTCTGCAGGACAGCCACCAGTGCACAGACACACACAGCCACAACCAACACTTCCTCTGCCACCTCCTGCTCTTCAGGACGCTGCCAGAGTCACACCTTGGTCTACATCCCCTGCACCATCTGCCCCAGGAGCCCAGCAGGACCCACCTCCTGCAGGGGACTGAGGCATCACCACGCCAGGGAGTGCAGCAGACCCCTGGGGACACATCCCAGCACGAGAACCCAGGCCAGGGTTCACAT